AGGGGACTGAGATAATTTTTCTCATGCATTGAATCAAACGGCAAAATAATTGTATCCCACCATCATGAGTAAGCGAACATATTTATTGCATCAGTGTATTGCATTCCCTTCCAAATTTTTTACTGCATATGGATGACTGTACTGGCCTGAGGAAAGTTAACGAAAAAGTTTGTTTTTATTAATCATCGGACTAAAAATCGCTATCCGAACATTGTTTTCGAATTGAGAAATTTAGATTCAAATAACAAATTTTTAGGCTAACCCCGAAGGAAACCAGCTCTCAAAGACAAGGTCTTTTCGCTCTCATGATATCTATGAAGAACTAGTTAGAACGCCCACAAGGTTATTTTCGCTGTCTCACTGGAGTAAAGTTCTTAAAAAGCCTATTCACCAATAAGAGCAAATTTCCTATACTGTAAGCCTCCGAAATCCTCACTATGGTGGGGGGTGGGTGCCTGGAGTTGCGGCTGGTCACACTTCCCTTGCATCTCACGAAATGCTCCCATACGACTAATTGTCTCAAATAGCCTCTGCAGAGGAACTCCTACTCACTGCCTTTTCGTGGCGCAGGTGTTTTTGCACCGAATGAAGAGGAGAAAAAGCTGACCTCCGGGGGCCATTACCAGGTTGGTGGACCACTGGCAGTTCACCTAGGGTAGCTGGCCAAAAACCCTGATTCCAAACCAACCAAGAGTAGGTGTACGAACCACACCCACACCTTTCTGGTTGTGGCCAGGGTCACTGGCTCGATTGGGCATCGAGGTGTATTGGGCACTGTGTACGTTTGACCCTAGGTAACCTGGCAATATTCGGCCCACATGCAGATTGTGGAAAGCTTTTCTTTCATAAAGATTATTGTACCATGACTTGTTTGGCACACATTCTGAACTCAGACGTGTGTGAAATATATTTATAACCTATACTATAAACGAAAATATCGGACTTTTTCATCGACGAAGCTTCAAACCTTGTTACGACTTTCTTCATTCTTACGATTATTAATGCTTCGGGTTCATTTGAAGATGCTTTCGTCAAAATTCATGTCGCAATCAGATTAGTTTAAATCCACGTTTGAACACCATATCCGTACAGCTACAACCGCGAAATCCATCATACATCTTGGACTGATATCTCGCAAGACCTCTCCGGGTCTGTCCAGAAGACCAACACACTCAATAACGTACGACAAATTTATCCTCATATTTCATGCAGGAAGATGTAACAGGTTAAAAAAAGAAAGGAATATTTTTTTGTTTATTGATTCAGAAATGCACAATAAACGTTAAGGAAGAGAGCCGCTGGCACACAAGGTTAAAGGGGAAATACAGAAAGTGGGAAGATACGCGGCGGTGACGGGGCTCGAACTCAGGACTTCTAAATGGTTATGTTGACGACCCTTCCACTCGACCACCGTCGATATTATGTGTATATATTACTGTTTGTAATGCTCATTTGTATTTTTCTTAAGCTTCTCTGAAAGATTGTATCCTTTGATAAAATTCCGCAGACGCTGACTTTCTCCAGAGTGAATAACTATTTAATGAATCAATTTTGATTTTCACTGACCTTCGTTCGCATACACACCATCCAAACAGTTCAGTCAGTCTGCCACACACACATAAACCCTAATATTCACCCTTTGCTCAGGAATTTCAATTCCGGACTTCTCGGCTGTACTAATAAGATCGGTTTGAGCATACTGACACAAGGATAAGGCACACCTTTCATGCAAAGTTAGTCTCAGACTGATCAGCTCTAACAATAGCCCAGCTCCAGTATTTCGCCTCAAGAATTAATGGTTGACTTAAAGAGGACGTTTTAAGCACAGTTATTCGAAAGTAAGTCAAGTCAAGCACACACTCTATGCATCCATCCATTGGTGATAGAATTTTCAGTGAAAAACGTTAGCACTTAGACTTTGGCTTACATGTGAACAAAAGGGACCTGCTAAAATGACATTCAGTAAAACGTGGATGATGATGATAATGATGATCAAGAGCAAGAACGCGTCGCTCAAGTGGAAATTACCACATGACAGTTTACATGAGATTGTGTCCCAGTTCACACGATAGGGGACCAATAAACAAGATGAAGTACGCGAGAGAAACTCTGTGGTACGAGTGTATATAAACATTGAAATTTATTGCGGTTGGCAAAACTATTTGTGATTAGATTTAGACAATCAACTCTCTCTCGCGCGCGCTCCTCGTCAACTCCTTTTTTCAGTAAAGTTCATGATGACACCCACACCCGTCGCAATTGTTGTCAAACGCGTTTTGGACGCAGATAGAAAAAGTCGTATGCACAGTTGGAAAAGCACTTAAAGGGTTTGTTGTTCATGTAATATACGCCAATAAAATTCTCTCCGATTGGTTTGTTGGTCACAGTGATATACCACTTGTCACGAGGGCCCACATATCACCACATATCGGCTTGTTGTTTTTTCTTTCATGATATATTCCGGGTGTAAACTAATCCAGATGAATCAATAAACCCTTTGGATGACATACGTGGTGGTGTTCATATTAGTATATGTTATATCTACTAAGCTCCAGTTGTTGAGACTCACATCCTCCCAAATTGTGAAGCCTTTACCGCAGAATTGTGTATTTGTATGTTACTCTGTGGAACTACCAGGCTACTTACTGTACTTGTATCGGACGATTGATTTGACATTAGTATCGTTTGATAGATCACCAGCGCTTGTCGGATATCGCTTATACAGTAAATAAACCGAAATGCATAAATTGGGGATTGAAACTGAACAGTGTTTTACAATGTAAGCAGATTATTTTTCTAATTGCATATAGTTTTGAACGACAAACGATTTCCCTGGATAAGGCGTGCCTATACCTTTGTTTATATTATTAAATTGGAAAAAGTGCATGGGAGTAGGAAGGTTGATGCTGTTGTAAAATATTTATTTTGCAGCCCGTGCTCAGCCCACGGAACCGAATACGGAAGGGACTAGACATTTATCCAGCCCTTTGCACAACATTAATTCGTTAAAACACTCTCAAAAGGGGTCGAGCTACATCGACGAATTGGAGGAGGCGATTCGTTTCAACCCCTAGAAAGAAACAACTCCATTCAGGTCCACTTTGCAGCAACCATACATTACGTAACACCTGCGCATTAATTTTTGTAACATGGATTTTATGTTCTATCATTCCCATAGCTTCGAATGGTTTACAATCAGTGCTGTGCTTTGATCATTTCGGTCGGTCGGTCGCTCTCTCTCTCTGTCCCTCTGCTCCCGGGCAGTAAATCTGGACAGTGTACTTTCTCTAACACTCTTTGTTAGCACATGCAATCCGTCGGTTCAACAACTGTACAAATTTTTTGAACAATTACTCGACCCGATACCAATTTTTGTTCGCGATAAGAAAAATCACAAGCTATCACTTCTGACTCAAAGTGATGGTCAAACATGAGACATGAAACAGATATGTGAATGAAACCATCTTACAACCAAGAGAGATGGTGCTGGTAGCGTTTGTAAGCAAGATATGAGAATAGTGCTTCTGTAAAGCGAGTAATCTTTTGGAAGACCACACTCAAATAGGTTTGAGCCAATGTTGTCTGAGTGAAAACGAAAAGAATTTATCTCAATTTTCTACCACAGCTTCAACTAACCAGTTCTTCAACCTTTATTAGGATTCCCGACTAATAATTATGACCAATCGGGCTGTCATTTTTGGTAACAGATTTCATTTATAACCTCATTATCTTCAACATTTCTATTTTTTAATTATTTTTTCCTTCTATTACGCTTTTCCAGTATATATGTGCCCCCCCTTTCATATCCACTAAAATCTAATCCTGACGCTATTCACAAATTCCAAAGATGATTGCTCTTCATTATAGCGCATTCCAATTTTTTCGTTCAGTTTTATTTTACTGATACCGATTGTTCAAATCAAAGTTGGCAACTTGCTCGAAAGTTAATTGGTTTTTTGTAAACGATTACTTAAAGGACCATGTCATATATCACATGTCCACTGCTCTCTTCTGCTGTTTTCTCAGACCGTACGTCTGAACTAAAAGACATGATTGATTGCTGTTTCACTCTGGTTGCTTCCATCCTTGAGCTATATTGTGTGACCGCTGGTTGTTCATTCATTCAGTCGTTACTTTCTTTCGCTGTCAAAGTCAGTTTCAGTTTGAACAACCAGGCAACCATGCACTTTCGTGGGCCGGTTTTGGTTGCTGTCTTTTGGCTGCCTATTTGAATGAACGATAGGCAGGAGAAAGACAAGAAAGTTGAAAGTAGAGTCGAACAGAAAATGGAGAATAGCAGTGGATTAATGTTGCAAATAAATTGAAAAGATGCACGAACGCCACTGTTTATGCCACTCAATCATATTACTTAGTTACGATCATCCCGAGGTCCCCATCAAGGGAGCTTAACGGGAGCTATGTGACCCGGACTACTGGTTAGGGTTTTCATAATCTCTTGCCAGGTCTTGGGTTGACTGCCCTTGGTTTTATTCCACCCACTACCTGCCTCGGCGATCATCGCTCGCCATGGCAACCTATTTTGTGATGGGCGTAACACACCCCAACCAACGTAACATATGGAGGTCGACCACTTTCTCCCGTGGGCTACCTCGGTTACCTAAAACTCTGCGTCTAACCTCAGTATTGCTCGTCCGGCTGCGCCACCAAACTCATGCAATGCAGCGTAGACAGCGGTATTCAGACACCGACATTCTATCACCGTCACAGTTGCACATTTGAGTAGGTATCCTTCGTGGACTGGCATGACTCCTGAGTCTCATAGAACGACAGTTCAAGTGAGATCTTGCGGATCACTACATCGAATGGGTTTAACAAGTAATAAACCTTTATTATAATATTGATTGTTCAAATGCCGAATTATAGACAGTCTTTAGTTAAAAACCTCTTAAGTATTGTCTTTTTTGTTAAGTTTGTATAGTTGTAGACGGATGGTGGGGATGATTATGCGACTGTTGACTGGGCGAATTGCAGCGGAACCTTCAAGATCTTGTTTTCGGGCAATCCGACTGACGCGCCAAACAGCCCAGATAGGAGTTCAAACGAGGCAACCCATTCGGGGTGAGAGTGAACGTGCCACTGGAGCCCGCGGCTGCTGATCCGGATGTGCCCCCCGCGTCTCCAGACACACTGTGACCGCGTAGAGCAACCAACGCCTCGGATAACCAACCTTCCGTTGTATTGTTCGGGGGCGAAACTGGCCCATCGTCCCATACGAGGTCGAAATCACCGACGCGTCGCTCGTCCCCAGTTAATCGACCCTCCAAATCGACAATATCCAGCATATCGTCTAGAAGATTGCACTAATTTAATTTCATGAGATAAAGCAGAAGTGGGCAATTAAATAAGTTTATTCAAAATGGATAGAACGATAAATGATCGATCAATAACGTAAAAAAGACAGCTAATCTGTTGAAACGAAATAAAGTTCCAAATGAAACGAAGTAAAACCTAAGCCATATGGATTATTAGCATCATCCTCCGAATCGAACTCCCGTGAAAGACTAGCGTATGAACAGATTGAAAAAGAACTAAAAAAACTGAATCTGAAAATCAAAGGATACCAAATTACCTTTTCAGACTACTATATATCATTTTAAATGTTGCCCCTTCTTTTCACTATGTTCTGTATTCCAATCCACCCATCCCAAGTGATTGTTAATGCTATTATTGTTGTGGCTTTGGCACCGTTCGTGTCCGCAAACCAGTATATATATATATATATATATATATATATATATATATAGATTGCACGATAAAAATGAAAAGCTGTTTGATCAACTGTTCGGTGGCCCAGTGCGTGGTATGCTTG